TCTTCTGTTAATTTTAGGCCTAGTTCGTTCTTCCCTTTCTAGTTTCTTGAGGCATAAAATTAGGTTGTTTGAGATTTCTATCTGTTTTATTTTTCTGTAGTTTTTTTTTTTTTTTTTTAATTGCCAGAGGGCTTGTGTGCTTGCCAGAGAAAGCTGCAGGGAGAACACTGCAGTCCCTTATCTTCCATTTTGCCATTTTGTCAGGATTGGGGCATACATTGCACACTCGCTGGCCTGTGGGGCTAAAGGACATGGAAACCTGAGTGGAAGTAAACGAGTGGATTGAGAAAGAAAACACACAGACACAGAAACAGGAAAGTGGGGATTGGGCAGACTAGGTGTCTCTGCTGCGAACGTCACGGCACTGAGCTGTTCACGGGTTTATTCTTTTATGCTGAAACAGAGTGAAGGAAAACAGGCGACTGGAGCATTTTGTGTCCCGTAGTTCTTGCAACTCATAGTTCTAAACAAGTTTCCCTGGCCTTCCCTGGCTGGCACTCAGCTTCCCTTAATTTACACTGCCCCGCAGCGTAGCAGCAGTGTGATCTTTGTTTGCAGCTTTCATTTCCCCTGCAGCGTAAGTCCAAAGATCATCTCTACTTTAAATGTTGCTAGTGTTCAGTCCAGGTCTGACCTCTCCCAAAGCACACCACTTGGCACGCTTTGCAAACTGCTGGGATTTGAGCCATATTCAGGCATGTGGGGGCCTAGTTTGCTTAACCACTAGATAACAGAGCAAGCTGCAACCAACATCTCTTCATTTTCCCTTCGCCTCTATTCTTCCCAGCTTCCTGTAGTTATTCTTTTTTTTTGGAGAGGTTTTTTTGCCATAGGGCGCGTGCGCTCACCAGACAGACAGAGAGAGACAGAGAGATAGAAAGCGAGAAATCACCCCCCAGGGGGGATGGTCACGCCGCAATCCCTTCTCCTCCATTCTCCTCTCGGGATCTTGGGCACGCACGCACACATGCCCGGTGTGAGTTTTAAGCCACCGGGTCCGGGACATGAACCACGGTCGACTACGTGGGAGTCCAGTGACATAGCCATTATACTAACTGCTGGTTCCCATGTAGTCATTCTTTTACTCTCTGCTTACGTGAAATCAACATTTTCACCAGTATTTCTCTTTTTTTTTTTTTTGAAGAGGTTTTATGCTATAGGGCACGTGCGCTCGCCAGACAGAGAGAGATAGAGAGACAGAAAGTGAGAAATCATCCCCCCAGGGGGGGTGGCCAAGCCACAATCCCTTCTCCTCCATTCTCCTCTCAGGATCTTGGGCACGCATGCACATGCACCCGGTGTGAGTTTAAGCCACCGGGTCCGGGACGTGAACCACGGTCGACTCCATGGGAGTCCAGCGACATAGCCATTACGCTAACTGCTGGTCCCTCCAGTATTTCTCTTTCTGTGTCTAGCTTATTTAACTTAACATAATATACTCCAGGCTCACTTACATGCCTCAAATGACAGGATTTCATTCTTTTTAACGACGGAATAGTATTCCACTGTGTGTGTGCACACTGCATTTCTGTATCCATTTGTCTGTTGATGAGTTCTTAGATTGATTTTTTTAAGAATTATTTTATTTTATTTTATTTATTTATTTATTTTAATTTGACCAGAGAGGGAGAAAAAGTAAACTGCTTTGAACCATGGTCCAGAATTTGAACCATGGTTGGCCACATGGGACTCCAACCCCCTAAACCACAGTGTCACCTGCCAGCCCCATGGGTTGATTCTTTATTTTGGTTGTTGCAAAGACTGCTGCAATAAACACTGGGGCACAGATATCTTTACAACATATTGATCTCCTTCCCTTTGGATATATGCCTAGTAGTAGGTTTGCTGGAACTTACAGCAGTTCTATTTTTAGTTTTTTGAGGAACATCCATACTCTTTTCCCTAATGGTTGTACTAACTTACATCCTCAACAATAATGTAAAAGACTTTCCTTTTTTCTGCATCTTGCCAGAAATAAAAAAAAAAATTGTTTTAGTTTTTTTGCATTAGGATTCATGCACTTGATAGAGAGAGAGAGAGAGAGACAGAGATAATGAGAGGGAAAATGACAAATCACTCCCTGGGGGGATGGTCATGCCGCAATCCCTTCTCTATCTTCTTCTCCCAGAATCATGGGCATGCACGCATATGCACTCATATGCACGATTTTCTTTCTTTTTTTTTTTTTAAAGAGATTTTTACTATAGGGCACGTGGTCTCACCAGAGAGAGTCAGAAAGCAAAAAATCACCCCCCAGGGGGGATGGCCATGCTGCGGTCTCTTCTCCATTCTCTTGTCAAGATTTTGGTGTGCATGCACACACGCTGGGCATGAGTTTCAAGCTGCCCGGTCAGGGACTTGGACCACGCTTGGCCATGTGGGAGTCTAGTGATGTGACCATTATGACATCTGCTGGTCTCAGCCCAGTGTGATTCTCAAGCCACTGAGTCCAGGACTTGAACCGCAGTCATCCATGTGGGAGTCCAGCAATGTAACCACTATGCCATGCACTGGCCTAGGTTTTTGCCATAGAGTGTGTGAGCTCACTGGAGAGAGAAAATGAGAAATCATACCCCAGGGGGGATGGCCACCCTGCAATCCCTTCTCCTCCATTCTCCTCTTGGCATTCTGGGCACACACGCCTGCCTGGCATGATTTTCAAGCTTCCAGGTCCGGGGCTCAAACAGCTTTTGGTCATGTGGGAATCCTGCACCTTAACTACCATACCACCTGCTGGACCCTTATTTTTTATATTTTTGATAATAGTCATTCTGACTAGGATTAGATGATGTCCTTGTGTTTTTGATTTTCATTTGCTTGATACTTAGTGTTGTTTAGCATTTTTTCATACATTTGTTGGTTATTTGTACATCTTTTTTCTTTTTCTTTTAAGAGAATTTTGCTATTGGGCACTTGCACTCACTGCAGAGATAGACAGAAAGCAAGAAATCACTCCCCCAGGGGGATAGCCGTACCCCAATCACTTCCCCTTCAGTCTCCCCTCAGGATTTTGGGCATGCATACACATACTCCCCTGGTGTGAGTTTGAAGCCACCAGGTCCAGGCCTCAAACTGCAGTCGACCATGTGGGAGTCTAGTGACGTAACCATTATGCCATCTTCTGGTCCCATCTGTACATCTTCTTTTGAGAACTTTTTAAGTTTTGCCAGAGAGGGTATGTGCTCTCTGGAGAAGAGAGGGAGAGACAGAAGGACAGAGAAGGAGAAAGTGAGAGATTCCCCTCTTACTCTAGGGAATTGTCACACAGCAATTTCTTCTCCTCTATTTCTCCCTTCTTTTGAGGTTTTGAGCATGTATACACATGTGCCCGGCATGTTTGTTAAGCTTCTGGGGACTGGGACTTGAACTGTACTGTCAGCCACGTGGGATCCAGCTGCCTTTAATCACCAAGTCCCTGGCTGCCCCTTGAGAACTACTTATTCCCAAGGTCATTTGCCCTTTTTTTTTTTTTGAAGAATTTATTTAATTTTATTTATTATTACAGTATTTTAATTTGACTAGAGAAAGAGAGCAATAAAGCAAGCAGACTTTCCTCGTTTTAATAATTCGTTTTTTCCTTCTTTTCCTGCTCTGTCTCATTCTCTTTTTATGAGAGAAGAGGGGGCAGAAAGAGTCTTGACTGAATCTCACCACGCCACAATTCTCCCGCCCCAGCCTCCTGGTTAGCTAGGATTACAGGCATTTGCCACCATGCCAGACCTGGTTTTGGTTTGATTCAGGAACTGAACCTGGGGCTCTCATGTGGGCTCAGCCTTAAGCATCAGTGCCCCTAGTTAATGCTTGTGCCATTGAGGGTAGGCCTCAACAATTCATTTTATAAATTAGTCACCATAAAGTTCATCCCAGTTTAGAGTCCCTTTTTTACCCAGTATGCCTTTCATTTTTAATTCAGAGTTTCTCTAAACTACATACTTTTAGCATGGGTTCCAAGAAAAATAGGGTTTAAAAAGTAGGGGATGGGGCCAGCAGGTCGTGTGGTGGTTAAGGTACTGGATTTCCACATGGCCAAACATGGTGTGAGTCCTGAACCTGGTGGATTGAAAATCACTCCCAGGCACACATGCCCAAAATCCCAGGAGGAGAATGGAGAAGGGATTGAGGTGCAGCTATTCCTGATTGGGGTGATTCATTACTTTCCCTCTCATTGTCTCTCCTTGGTGAGCACACATGCCCTATGGCAAAAACCTAAAAAAGAATAAAACAGAAAGTAGGCTATAGTGCTGGAAAAGGTCACATTATAAATTTCTGGGTTTTTTTAAAGAGAGATTTTTTGCTATAGGGTGCGTGTGCTCGCTGGAGAGACAGAGACAAAGACACAAAGCAAGAAATTACCCCGGGGGGGAGCAGGGACGGGGGAGCTGGCCACGCTGCCATCCCTTTTCCTCCACTCTCTTCTTGGGATTTTGGGCACACCCACACACAGGCACCTGGCAGGTCATATTATAAATTTCTAAATAAAAAAGTAAATTATTGGGCTGGTTGGTGGCATGGTGGTTAAGGTGCCAGACTCCCACATGGCCAACCACAGTTCAAGTCCTGGACCTGGCGGCTTGCTTTCTCACTTTCCCTTTCTCTCTCCTTCTGTCTCCCTGGTCAAATTAAAAAACTAATAATAACAAAGAAAATAAAATTAAAAATTAATAAAAAGTCAATTATTTGGAGTATCTGCACCATAATTGGCATAGGAAATGAAGCGCCGATATTAAATAAATTGCTTTAGTTAGAATTTAATTAATAGGCAAATACTTGCTTCTCCTTATATCCTTTTGAGAATCAGAAACAAGATTATAATTAAAAAAGGAAGTAAATCCTACAAATGTTTTTGACTAAAATAAAAGCTGGACTGAAGAGTTTTGATTAATAAAGCCAAAAACAGTTTTATTGTAATTATACACATAGAACATCTTTAACAGATTATTTTGTACAAACTCTAGGAAAGTATTCCAAATACAAAATTATGTTTATAAACTACAACAATCAAGATACATCAAGGAAGTGTGTGAATCAGCGCCAAATTTACAATTGTATATCTAATACATCACAATTCTTTTACTTCAAAAAAACGTTCACATGAGAGCTCTAACGTGGGCAATTAGTTGCTAAAAGAACAAATTATCTTCATTATGTAGAAAATAGAAAAGTACTCAGTGTAAAATGGAGATACTGAAGCCTTCAGGATTGCTTTATGTTGTTACTAGTAAAACCACAGAACCCAAAGCTATGAAGATCTGTCTAAGTAAGATATGGATGTTAAATATGCCTTTAGAGCTTGCCTGAGAGAAGTGATCTGTCAGCCACTTTTGGTAGAAGAATGGCCCACTATAGACACCAGGAAAATTTTTCCGACCACAGCCATGTCCATAACTGGTAATTCCCATTACAAAAAATCTTTTATCTTCTGGTAAGTAGCACATTAGTGGTCCACCACTATCACCCTATTAATAAAAGTCCCAAAATAATGTTAGTCACTTTTAGTATTCTTTAAGCAATATAGATCTGGAATAAGTGAATTACATTAAATATTAAAAATTACACTTAAATTTCAATATACCTCCAAGTCATAATGAGCTATAGAATTTTTTAATATTTATTTTATTTTACTTATCATTAGTATTTTTCGATTTGCTACAGGGCATGTACACTTACCAGAAAGAGAGAGGGAGAGAAAGTGAGAAAGCAAGTTGACTCTGTGGGACCAGCACCCCAACCACAATACCACCTGCTGGCGCCCCAAGAGCTATAGATTTTAATACTGCAACTCAAAGAGGAGTTCTGAGTTGCAAATTCAGTCTACCCAAGTATTTTGAAGGAACCACAGAGAAGATAGACAAAATTCTCATTTGCATAATTTTGAACTAGAATACTATAAATCAAATTGGTTGAAATGTTTTTCCTATATGAGAGAGAAAGGGGGTGGGAGAGGAAAGGGACAAGAGGTAGCTATTTTTTTAAAAAAAAGAATTATTTATTTGATTTTATTTATTATTATTCTTTAACTTGCTATAGGGCATATACATTCACCAGAGAGGCAGGGGCAGAGTGAGAAAGCAAACTGCCAGGTCTGGGACTCAAACTGTGGTTGGCCAGATGGGAGTCCAGTGCCCCAACCACCACATCACCTGCCGGCACCCAGAGATAAATATATTTTTAACAGAGTTTTGCCATGTCATGATCGTCCCATCCTAGCCTCACAATTAACTAGGATTATAAGTGCATACAACTGCACCTCGTGTGTTCAGGTTGGCCCAGGAATGGAACCTGAATCTCCCATGTGACTCTTAGCCTCCCAAGTGGTGATACTATCTGTACATCACAGCAGCTGTTCCTATAATTTAGGAAAATGTGTAACACTGTAAAATCTTTTTTTTTTTTTGGAGAGATTTTCACTATAGGGCGCGTGCGCTCGCCAGGCAGACAGAGAGAGACATTAGAGACAGAAAGCGAGAAATCACCCCCCAGGGGGGATGGTCACGCTGCAATCCCTTCTCCTCCATTCTCCTCTCGGGATCTTGGGCACGCACGCACACGTGCCCGGCGTGAGTTTTAAGCCACCGGGTCTGGGACGCGAACCGCGGTCGACTACGTGGGAGTCCAGCGACATAGCCATTACGCTAACTGCTGGTTCCCTAACACTGTAAAATCTTTATTGGGCTATTTCTCTTGTTAATACTGTGTGTGAAAAACACACCTATATAAGCTATATGAGGGATTCTTTTTTTTTTTTTTTTGGAAAGATTTTTGCTACAGGGCACATGCGCTTGGCAGAGAGACAGAGACAGAGAGACAGAAAGCAAGCAATCACCCCCCGGGGGGATGGCCACGCCACAATCCCTTGTCCTCCACTCTACTCTCAGGATCATGGGCACACACGTACATGCGCCTGGCTTGAATTTAAGCTACTGGGTCTGGGACTCAAACCACGGTCAACTACATGAGAGTCCAGCGACATAGCCATTACGCTAACTGCTAGTCCCGAGGGTTTCTCTTAGTTGTGTGCATGGTTTGCTAGCTAGATCTAAGGGAAAATTAAACTGGCATCTTGCAAGATACGGCTTTTTTCTGTGTTGACATTGGCTAGTGCAGGAAAGTGGGAATAAATGGCAAAGACTCTCAATATTATAGAAAGTCTCTTTCATAGTTTATACAAGACTGCTAATGCACCCAAATGCTATAACTAAGGGCTGTTAATGGACTCAAAACAGCAAGGACACCAAGAACTAGTCTAGTGCCTAAAAGTTAGGGATTATATTTTTAAGGTGTCTCCAATTCTCTGTATCGGTCAATGAAAAGTTATTTTTTGATGATAAAGATGTTTCATCTAGGAAGGCAATTCAGTTAGATACTTTACTATTTTACTTAGTAATATTATAAAGGAAAAATAAACCTTAGATTGCAGATACCAGAATGAACAGGAAAAGATGAGAGCATAAATACTGGCAGATGTGGAAGTGGTGAAGAGAAGAGGGACAGAGAAAGTTTGGGAAAAATGAGAGAGAGAGAGAGAAAGAAATAGCCTTCCTAAACAATTTTAAACTTTTGGGGCATAGGAAGCCAGCAGGTGGTGTGGTGGTTAAGGGTGCTGGACTGCCCCATGGCTGACTGCCGTTGGAGTCTCTGACCTAGTGGCTTGCTTTCTCACTTTCTCTCTTTCTCTCACTCTATCCATCTCTGGTCAAATAAAAACAAACAAACAAACAAAAAAACTTTTTGGGTATAAATTATAACATAAGCGAAAAGACCATCCACAGGATGGGAGAAAATGACTTCTACATCATGTATGTAGTAAAATACTTTAAAATTTTTGTATTATATATAGTTTTGTATCCAAAATATTTAAAGAATGCTTATAACTCAGTGATAGAAAAATAACTCAATTTATAAAGGGGGAAGTATCCAAATAGACATTCTGTAAAGAAGCTATATAGGGGCCGGCAGATGGCATGGTGGTTAAAGGTGCTGGACTTCCACGTGGGCAAGTATGGTTCAACCCACCCCCAAGATCCCGAGAGGAGAATGGAGGAGAAGGGACTGTGGCGTGGCTATCCCCTCTGAGAGGGTGATTTCTTGCTTTCTGTCTCTCTGTCTCTGTCTGTCTTCTTGGTGAGCGCACGTGCCCTATAGAAAAAAACCTCTCCAAAAAATAAAAATAAGCATGACTGGGGCCAGCAGGCAGCTTCATGGTGCTTCGTGGCTAGAAGTGCTGGACTCCCACATGGCTGACCGCTGTTTGAGTCCCAGACCTGGTGGCTTGCTTTCTCACTTTTCTTTTCTCTCTCTCTCTCTCTCTCAATAAACTGGAAAATAATAATAATAATAATAACAACAACAACAACAACAACAAATAAAGTTAAATAATTCTTTAAAAAATAAGAATGGCTATAATAAAAAGAGAAAAAAAAAGGAATGACTATAATAAAAAAGACAATACCAATTATGAGTATGTAGAAAATTGGAACCCCTCAAAAATTGGGACCCACTTTGGAATACATTTTGATGGTTCTTTAAAATCTTAAACATCAACTCAGTAATTCCCCTATTGAGTTTCTAAGAGAAATAAAGACATAGCTACACATAAAACATACACAAATGTTTATAGCAATATTACTTATAATAGCCAAAAAGTGAAAGCAGCCCAAATATCCATTAGCTCATGCGTGAATGAATAAAAGTGTATTTGGCCACACAATGACTAAGATATCAGTACATCCCGCAGCATGGATGGACCTTGTAGAAGGCTCGTGCTAAGTGAAAGAAGCCAGTCACGGCAGACTATATAATGAATGATTCCAGAACTGTCCAGAATAGGCAGTTCTATAAAGAGGTGGGTGGAAGGAGACGGAATGATTCCTAATGGATACAAGTTTGTTTTGGGGTGACAGAAATGTTCTAAAATTAGATTATGGTGATTATTGCACAACTCTGTAAACACACTAAAAAAATTAAGTTGTACACTTTAAATGGGTAAATTATATCTCAAAAGTTACGATTAAAATAAAGATTTTTGGCTGGCCCAGTAGCCAATAGTTAAGGAAAATGAATAACACATTGTTGACCATAGTTCAAATCTCAGTCCCATTGGTTTGAAAACAAAACAAAACAAAACAAGGTGTGCACATGGGTGTGCCCCAGATCCCAACAGTATGGAGAAGTGGAGAAGGGATCGCAGTGTTCGGATCTGGGGCATGCATGCATACACACCTGGAATGGTTTTCAAGCCTCTGGGACTGAGATTTAGATTGCAGTCAGCCTTCTGAGATCTGGCTTCTTACGCACAGTGTTTAACTGCTGTGCTAGGACTCAGCCTTATTATTTTAAAGGAAAATTATTTTGTCTTACCCGGCAAGTATCAAAGGCTCCATTTTCATCACCTGCACAAAATGAAGTGTTAGGAATTATTCCCCCATAACTGTTCTCAGAATTACAAATATTTCGAGAAATATAATTCACTTTTGCTTCCTGTAAGATATTTGAAACGTTACCTGTTAACAAAAAAATACAAAAAAATTATTTTGGAGCATAGGCATTTTCATAGTGATTTAAAATGACCTCATAAAGGTTTCCTTTAAAAAATAATTCAACAATTATATAAAATTATATCCAAATGTGTATGATACTGAGTGGTCTAGGATGACTATATTTAGCATAGGTCTAGCCAGTTGGAATACTTCCCCAGCATCTTTTTCTTAAAGAATTATTTTATTTAACTTATTTATTTATTTTAATTTGACCAGAGAGGGACAGAGAGAGAGAGGGAAAGTAAGCCACCAAGTCCAGGGACTCAAACTGTGATTGGCCATGCGGAAGTACAGCGCGCTCAACCACCATACTACCTGCCGGCCAGCATTGTTTTTAAACTGGAACTGCCAGAAAATAACTTTTTATCCTAGTTACATGAGTGACTGTACATCCTGTATCAGGTGGCTTAAACCTCATGCCAGGTGTCTTGTGCATGCATGCCCAAAATCCTGAGAGGAGAATGAAGGAGAAGGGATTGTGGCGTGGCCATCCCCCTTGGGAGGTGATTTCTTACTTTCTGTCTCTCTGTCTCTCCAGTGAGCACACGCATCCTATAGCAAAGTCTCTCATTTAAAAAAAAAAAAAAAAGATATTCTTGCACAAATAGAATCCTGACATAATTACAGTGGCTTTAGAATAAACCTTTTATTTCTGGATAGCAGCTTCTCTAAAATATTTTCCTTGCCTTGGAGTGCTTATTCTGGGGTCTTCTAGAATTAGCATTTTTTTTTTTTGTGTGTGTGTGTGTGTGTGTGTGTTTGCTTTAGAGTGTGTGCCTTGCCAGAGAGAGAGGAGGGAGAAATCAGCCCCTGAGGAGAAGGGCCATGAAACAGCCCCTCCTCCTCCAATCTCTTCAGGATTTTGGGCACATACACGTGTACCCAGTTGATTTTCAAGTGTCCAGATTAGAGACTCGAATTGCAGAGCCAGTCATGTAGGATCCAGTGCCTTAATCTCCATGCCACCTGCTAGCCTACAGCTTTGAATTTTCTCAAAACTCCCCTTAGGGTTTATCATTTTCTGTTGTTGTTACTTTTCAGTTTATCAGAACTGACATTTTCATGTTAGTTATATATGTAAGTACTTATGTATGTATGTTTTTGCTGTGGGGCAGGTATGCTCGCAGGAGAGAGAAGGAAAGTGAAAAATCACCTCCCGAGGGGGATAGCGATGCTGCAATCTCTTCTCCATTCTCTTTCGGGATTTTGGGCGTGCATATGCACATACCTGGCATGACTTTCAAGCCACCAAGTCTGAGACTCAAACTGTGGTCTGCCATGTGGGAGTCTAGTGCCTTAACCACTGAGCCATCTGCTGTCCAGCTGTCCAGCTGCCTGCCTGCCTGCCTGCCTGTCTGCCTTTCTTCATGTGCAAGAAAGACAGCATTCCCATCTTGCTTTCTCATTTTCTTTTGCTCACTCTCTCCGGTAAGCACACATGCCCTATAGCAAATTTAAAAATAATACTGGGTTGTCTAAAATGTCACAAACCATTTTTGCATAGAAAACACATCGTGACTTTTCTGACGACCCAATGATAATAAATAAAATTAAATAATTCTTTTTTTTTTTTTGAGAGTTTTTTGCTATAGGGTGCGTGTGCTCGCCAGACAGACAGAGACAGAGAGATAGAAAGCGAGAAATTACCCCCCAGGGGGAAGGCCACGCCGCAATCCCTTCTCCTCCATTCTCCTCTCGGGATCTTGGGCACACATGCACACACGCCCGGTGTGAGTTTAAGCCACCGGGTCTGGGACTCGAACTACGGTCGACTACGTGGGAGTTCAGCGACATAGCCATTACACTAACTGCTGGTCCCAAAATTAAATAATTCTTTAAAAACAAATAAACAAAAGAAATGGTACAATGTATGCTCTCAGACCATAATGGAATTAAACTAGAAATTACTAACAGGTATTCCAGGCATTTTGCTGTAAAATACCAAAGTATATGGCCATTTAATGTGAATTAGATAATAGTATTGTGCCAATGTTGTATTTCTTGATTTTGATGTGGTCATATTAAAAAACGCCCTTTGGGACTTGCAGGTGATGTTTAGGGCACTGGACTCCCACATGGCAAACCATGGTTTAAGTCCTAGACCTGGTGGCTTGGTTCCTCAACTTTCCCTTTCTCTCTCTGGTCAAATTAAAATAAAAAATAATAAATAATAGTAACAAATTAAATAAGTAATTCTTTATTAAAATGCTCTTGTTCTTTCTTAGAGAATTTTTTACTTTATTATTTTAAATTTTCTTAAAATTATTTAATTTTATTTAATTTAATTTGACCAGAGAGGGATAGATTGAGAGAGAGAGACAGAAAGTGAGAGACAGACAGAAAGTGAGAAAGCAAGCCACCAGGTCTGAGATTCGAACCATGGTCAGCCATGTGGGAATCCAGTGCCCTTAATCACCACAGCACCTGCTGGCCCCCTATTTTTATTTATTTATTTTTTAAAGTGCTATAGTCTTTGAGGGGTGAGAGGAATGAGAAAGCAAGCCACCAGGTCTGGGACTTAAACTGGGGTCAGCCATGTGGGAGTCCAGTGCCCCAACCACCATGCAACCTGCTGCCTCCCTCCTCCTGCTTTTTTGGTTTTTAGGTTTTTGCTATAGGATGTGTGTGCTCCCCAGAGACAGTCCAGGACTTGAACTGTGCTCAGCCTGTGGGAGTCTAACACTGTAACCACCATGCACCTGCTGGCCTGATTGTATGGTTTCTATTATTTTAAATTTATGAAGGTGTGTTATATGGCCCAGAATATGGTCTTTTTGGCAACTATTCCATGTGTGCTTGAGAAGAGTGTGGATTTTACTACTGTTGAAGGCGTCTACAGAGACCAGTTCCCTCTCCTTGACTGAGAGTGCTGCTGAGTTCAATTATGCTTACTTCTGCTACTAGATTTGTCTGTTACTGATAGACAGGTACGAAGTGTTCAGTGAATTCCTCCGTTTACCTTTTCAGTTTTATCAGTTTTTGCTTCATGTATCGTGACTTTGTTGTTACACACATATAAATTAAGGACTGTTGTGTATTTGTGGAGTACCCCCCCTTTTATACTTACTCTGAAGTTCTGCTCTATCTGAAATTACATAGGTATTCCAGCTTTCTTTTGATTAATATTAACATGGTATGTAAATCTTTTTTCCTTTTTAAGTTTTTTGCTATAGAGTGTGTGGGCTCACCAGAGAGAGACGGGGGTGGGGAGGGGGTGATGGAGGGGAGGAGAATCACTCCTCAGAGGGGATGGCCACGTTGCAATCCCTTCTCCTCCATGCTCCTCTTGGGATTTTGAGCGCGCACACATGTGCCTGGCGTGGTGTTGGCCGTGTGAGATCCAGTGCCCTAACCTCCGTGCCACTGCTGGCCCCATACGTCTTTTCCTACCCCTTTACTTCCCCTCTCATCACTTTCATCTACACGCGTCTTTATATTTAAAGTGCATTTTCCTGTAACCAGCATACAGTTAGGCCTTGCTTTTAGATCCACTCTTAACAATCTCTGCTTTTAGCTGATTTGTTAAACCATTGATGTTTATAAGTAATTACTGATATGATTTATGATTGGACTAATAACTACCGTATTCGGACTGTTTTCTACTAATCTTGTTCTTTACTTCTATTTTTGTCTTCCACTTTCTCTGCCTTTTGTCATTTTAACTGATGAGCATTTTATGTTACGTCATTTACTCTCCTACCTTAGCATTTAAATTATATTTTCTAATTTTTTAGGGGTTTCCCTGCGGTTTGTATACATTTACAACTAATCTAGGTCTGCGTTCAAGTGACTGTGTCACAGGTAGTACAAGTACCTTATAAAACCAAGTATTTCGAATTCCTCCCTTCCATCCCTTGAATCATGGTCATTGATTACAGTCAAAGAAAAGTTATAGTCTAAGAATATGTGTTGCTATTATTTTGAACAAAATTTTATATAAATGGAATCACACAATTTGTCGTCTTTATATTTGACTTCTTGTATATAGTCTGCTTTCCAGGTTCATCTGTTTTGGAGTATGTATTTATAGTTATTTCCAGCTCATTGTTGAATAGGATTTTTGACTGGATATATCATACTTTGTTTACTAGTTGTCTAGCCTGGACATTTGGATTGTCTCCAGTGTTTGGCATTATGAATAATTCTATGACCAGTCACATACACATTTTTGTGTGAACATTTATTTTGTGTTTATTTTTCTCTTAATTTTGCTATAAGGTGTGTGCACTTGCTGGAGAGAGACAGGGAAAAAGAGGAAGTGAGAAATCACCTACAGGGGGATGGCCATGCTACAGTCCCTTCTCCATTCTCATCTCAGAATTTTTTTTTTTGAGAGGTTTTTGCTATAGGGCGCTTGCGCTCGCCAGACAGATAGAAATAGGCAGAGACAGAAAATGAGAAGTCACCCCCCAGGGGGGATGGCCACGCCACAATCCCTTCTCCTCCATTTTCCTCTCAGGCTCTTGGACATGCACGCACACGTGCCTGGCGTCAATTTAAGCCACCGGGTCTGGGACTTGAACTGCTGTCAACTACATGGGAGTCTGGTGATACAGCCATTATGCCAACTACTGGTCCCTCATCTCAGAATTTTTAAATGCACACTTTCCCTCCACAAATTACATATACAGAATTTTTAAATGCATACTTTCCCTCCACAAATTACATATATTATTTTTATTATATTCTAGTGTTTCTCAATCTCAGCACTATTGAAATTTTAGGCTAAACAATTATTTGTTGTGGGAGGTGGAGGACTATCCTGTACATTGAAGGATGTGAAGCAGTACCATTGGCTTCTATCCACCAAATACCAGTAGCAAACTTATCCCCCACTCAGATAGAAGAACAAAAATTTTCTCCAAATACCACCAAATGTCTCCTGGGGATGAAAATAATTGAGAATCACTGCTGTGTAATGTTTATTTGCATTTACCTATACATTTATCCATTTTTTCTTTCAT